GCATTGCACAGCTGTCCAAGCAGGCCCAGGAGCTGGCTTTCTCCATCTCTCACTTTCTCTGCTGCTGTCTTCACCACTGTAGGCTCTCTGGTTACATAATGTGTGTGCGATTTGATCAGTCATCAAATCAGCGTTCTGGCAAGGATTTCTTCCTCTCTGCTTTCCTACCCTTCTTAGTTTTTTTCTCAGTAAGCATTCCTCTAAGTCCTCCTATCATAGCAGCAAGATACGCAAGCAGGCCTATTGGATAGGAGGAAAGCAACAAAAAGGTGTTAGATCCAGGCTTTCATGCTTATCTGGGGATCTCTGTGGTACTGCCACTGTTCTGAGCACAAAAGATTCTCCAAAGTGGTATTAAGAAACTGCCAGGAGAAAAGGGACAATTCTAACAGAGCAATTAAAAAATCTAACAATAAAAGTCAGTCAGCTAAAAAGTAGCTATGTATGCACCGAGGTGACAGAAAGTTTCTGGCAGTTGGCTGTATTTTTTATTATTTTCCTCTGGTCTATACTCGGAGTAGAAATGTGAAATCCAGAATGATAGGGTAAGTTCAAGTTCTCAACATCTCATTCAAGCTCAGTTGAGGTCCTGAGGATGCAGAAGTGTTTTTCTGGGATGGGGCCCAGCCAGGATCTGCAAGAGGAGAATTACCACTTGAATCTCTTAGTTCCTGAAAAGTTGCTCTTGCCTGTGGCATTTCCCTTGAATTCAGCTTCTGCTTTAAACACTGGTGCATGACTAAACTGATGAAAATAATGAAATAGGTAAGTGCAAAAAATTTTGGTAAGATAACATCTGTCACTGTAGAAAAAGGAAAATTCTGCGTTGCTTTTACACTTTCCCTGCTCATTTGACTCAGGACTTTGAACATCAACCAAGGAAGTGAGAAGGTATTCCCTTTCCCTTCTTTACGCTTTCTCTCTCTCTCTCTCTCTCTCTCTCTCTCTCTCTCTCTCTCTCTCTCTCTCTCTCTCTCTCTCTCCAAAATGGTTCCTTGATACTTTTTAGGAAAGTGTCAAAGATTAGTGATTTGCTATACCTGTGCTGAGAAAGTGATCATAGTCACATAACTATCAATCTCTCTCTACTCAAAATATATTTTTAAGGAGTACACACAAGTAGTTTAGATGTAGCTTAACCAAATTGTTAATGTAGCACAATCTCTGCAATTAATCAAAAATGAGTCCAAATTTCTGCTTAACCTGTTAAATAGCATGACCTTGTATAACATATGTAATGTCTCCAGGCTTCAAATTTCTCCTCAGTAAATTACCAGTAATAATGTCTATGTCATAGGTTGTGGTAAAGATTAAATTAGATACTGTATATTAATTGCTAAATTTAGTGCCAGGTATTAAGTAAGCCCATTATGAATAGTGTGTGATTGGTATTTCTTGATAGTCCAAATTTTTATTTTCCTACCAGCAATAAAAACTTATAAATAGTAGATTGTAAAATTTATTTTGCTTATAACAAGGACACATTAATATATATATATATACTTATAAGGATATATATAAGTATATATATATACTTATAAGCTACTTATAAGGATTTCTTCTCACAATTACAATTTACATTGGCTATTGCATGCTTATTATAAGTAATATAGTTTATCTTGATGGGAGCCAAAGAAAAATACAAAGAAACAAACCAAAAATGAAGTGCAAAATACCAAATTGGGGAAAATGACTAGGAAAGAGGAAGGCCAAAGTGTAGTAGAAAAGCCAGTTCTATGTAGAATTACATGGGTTGTAATCTTTTCCCACAAAGATTCAGAATAAGAGGAACTTTGGGACAGATTTGGTGGGAGAAAGAAATGAGATCCAAGGAGTTTGGCTTTGGATCTGCAAAAGTTTAAGTCCGTGTGGAAGGACCTGGTGAAAGTGTACATAGTCAGTTAAGTATGTAAAGCTGGAGTTTTATACCTTTAAAGTGTTTAAAAGTTGTATAAGTGGCATACCAAGGATGAACTGTGGGAGCAATAAAAGGGACATTGTTTGTATAATTAAAAATGAAACCAAAACTAATTAAAAATCAGCCTGCACTTGTTGTGCCCAGATTTCAAGGTTCCCAAGACCCCCAGGGAGCCAGTCAGTCCGATGCAAAAGCAAAGAGTCCTTTATAATGCAAGCCGGCTTGCGCTCCCCGTTCACCAGACCCACACAACGGAAAGTCCAGTGGCCGAGAGAGAGAGGCCTGATGGGACAGGGGGTTTTAAAGGGGGGTGGAGTGAGGGCAGGAGAGGGGACTGTGTGCCCCGCCGATTGGCCAGGCGCGAGTAGGTACAGGATGTGGTCATAGTGATGGCGTGCAGTTCCCTTGATTATTATTGGTTAGTCCAGAGAAATCCTGAGTGTGGCTAGCAGCGGCTTCCCCCGGCGAAGAAGCACATGGCTCTGTCCTAAAATGGAGGACCCAAGGCAAGATGGAGGGCGCAGTCCTCGCCCGGCTCCCGCTGCTGCTGCTCGAACACGCCGCAAGGCAGGATGGCCCTCCCGCACAGGGCGGACTGGGACTCCCGCAGGGGTGCGTCTGGGCGGCACAGGCCCAGCACACGGGGTACGGCCGGCAGAGCGGCCCAGCTCCGGAAGAGCAGCATCCGCTCGGAGCAGGCCCTGCCCGTGGCCGGTGCACCGCAGCACGGCAGCCTCCCAGGGCTAGGGCACGCGCCCCACTCCGCTGCCGCTGCTGCTGCTACACCGGGGCCGGGGGTCCATGCGGCCCGCGCAGAAGCCCAGTCCGGGGGGCAGTGGGCGGGTGGCAGCCTGCGCTGGGCTCCCGCTGTGGGCTGGTGAGCCGATGCCCCATGGGGCCCGGCGGCCGGCCCACGCAGGCCCCCCTGACCGGCCCCGAGGGCCGCATGGACCCCCGGCCCCAGCGCTGGCAAGCGGGGAGCCGACCACGGGGGAAGGGAGGAAAGAGCCAGGCGGTGAGGCCTTCTGCTCCCACGACCTCCCCGTGGCCGGTCGCCTCCCGGCCCCACCCCTCGGCCCGCTGCCGGCCACGCAGCCAGTTTGGGACACTTGGACCCGCTCCGGGGAGGCCAGGCCCTACGGCGGGCGCGGAGGGATTTCAGAGCCCAGAGGCCAGACTCCTCCTCCCGCACCGCCCGGAGAGGCGGGCGGCTCGCCTTTCACACTGACAATTCAGAAGAATACCAATGAAAAAATGCTGCTCCCAAAATCATCTTTTGTTTGTCTATACTCTAAGCACATGCACCAACAAGTTTTCAGTTTTGGTTGGGGGAATCCAAGACAGAGAATAAAATTTCTGATATTGGCAATTAAAATAATCAATGATGTTAGAACAGTTTAACAGCATTAGAACACGAATCTGGGAAGGTGAATGCTGATATTAGATATGATAGAAATACAGTATTTTTCCATGTATAAGATGCTATTCTTTTTTCTAAAATCATTAGACTGAAAATTGAGGGGCTTCTTATGCATGGAAGTCAGAAGAGGAGGGAGCCACATAAGTGCATGAGCCTTATTGTTACTGATGTCAGCTGATGCCATAATTGGAGGTGGAGGTGGAGAGTGCACAGATGCTATAGGGACTGGAGAGTTCTGAGCCCATAAAGATGCCAAAAAATAAAAAAAGATAAATACTGGTAAGCAATTGTCTTACTCTGCAAACTGAATGTAATCAGCTATGCAAAAGAGCATGGAAATAGAGCTGTAGAGAGACAATTTGGAACTCCTCCCACTGAGTGTATGATCAGACAGTGGAGAAAACAGGAAGAACAACTCCTTAAGATGCCAAAAAAGAAGGTGGCCTTAAGAGGAAAACCAAAAAAATGGGCAAACTTGAAGCAGAGGCTTAAGACTTGGATTATGGAGCAGCCTGGTTTTGATAGGCTCACAGACAGAGTAGTTACACAATAAATATTTAATGATTAAATAGACAAAGTGTATTACTTGGCTTGTGAAAGTAGTTTAATAACAGAAAATATAGACTGACATAATAATAATAATAATAATAAATCTCTCTTTTTGGAAGGGCTCATGTCAATTAACTTTCACAGGTCTACTTCAGTTTCTGCACCACAAAATGCTAAAAAATAGGGTGACTATATGTCCTAGTTTACTCCTGTGGTCTCAGCATTAATTATGAATGACACTTTCTCTAATTTTTATAGGGGTCTCAGTTAGGACAATAATATAATGTTCTGATGAGCTCCTGATATGATCTTCTAAAAATGTGCACAAATATATAGCATTGACAACAATTTAAGATATTATGCTTTATTTTCTAGATTTAACTGTCATCTTTATTAAACTGTTATTATTTTTATTTTATTTTCTGATATAAGAAAGGAAATAAAAAATTTGCTGAGCAGATAGAAGACCTATAGTTACCATGATGTATATACTAATTTTTAGTATCTATAGGCATAGTAATGTTATTTAGTGGCCTGGTAGTATAATTTAAATTTCAGTTAAAATTAGAGCCAAATCTCACTTCTGTTTAGTATCTGCTAGAATTTTAATTTCATACAAATTTTGTAATCTCTCTGATTCTTAGTTTGCTAAGATAGATATAATTCCTACTCCATAGGATTTCCACGGGCTAGTTATTGTAAAATTCCTAGCAGAGCACCTGCACTTAGTAGATACAAAATATTATAGTTATTATTAAGAAAAAGGAAATTAGGCTAGGAGGGGGAATGGTATATCTTTGCTGTTTTTACCTAACGCTTTAAATATTTAAGAGTTTTTCCTTTATGTTGACTAATTATAATGATACATTCCTATGATATCATTCAGGACTCTTCAATTATATGTAACAGAAACCATTGCAAAGTAATTTTAAGAAAATTACAACCATTGGCTCATGTAACGAGTTAGCTCATGGGTGGGCTTGGGTTTGGCTTTCATGTAGATTCGGAGACTCAAACGATGTTGTCAGGTCTCTCTTGCCCTCTCGCTCTAGCTCTTGCTCACACTGGTTCTGCTCCACCCCTTGTAAAGTAGTCTCATTCTCTCCTCTGCAGGCTAAGGAACACACTCACCAGTGGTTCCAGGGATCCTCGTTCCAACCCAACACAGTGGAAAGAGAGCTGCTATCTCCCGACATCTGTGATTGACTCTCCTGGGATCTACCCTCTAACCCCAGTTGCAATCTGACCAGCTTTATTCAGGAGAAGCACTAAACCCTAAAGCATACAGGTATGTGATGAGTAAACCTGTTTCTTTTGCCTCTAGAAAGGTCTTAATTTTGTAGCTTGAATTATTGTCTGGGTTTTCTGGCTCCAAAGAGGAACTTTGGTTGAGAAAGTCTGAAGGTGAATGTTTTGAATGCCCAGGCCAAGATCAGAAAAGTGAGCAGAAATTAGGGTTTGGAAAATCTTGGATATCCAAAAAACGATTACTTCCATCTAGGCTTAGCTGATGACAGTACAGAGAATACTGTTTGCATGCCTACAAGAATATTGATATGCTGGTTTCTCTGGTGAAGATTCATTTCCCAAGGCACTCGCCTCAGGAGCTGAAGTGAATCTGCTATCATTGCCATCTTCTGGGGCCCAGAAGATGCAGGGATGTGCCAAGTATATTCTTCAGGCTGGCTTCCCATGTCCTCTTCTTGAGATCTTTATTGAAGTGCTTCAAAAAGTGGGGGGAGAACTCTCTGAGCAATAGTCTTTGGGTTACTGGAGTAACATTTATGCTCTGTCACAGAATGTCCCTTGGTGCCCCTGTCAGAATCATAATAAAGCTCATTTGTCAGTTCCAATGTGACATTTCTTATATTTCTGTATAGTGCTTCTTAGATTACAATCCTTAGACAATAATCATTGTCAGCGGGATCTTCTTGGAAAATAAAGGAAAACATGAGCATCCAACCCCCACATCTGAACTGTTCCATTTGCTGTAAGCACCCTATGCCTGCAGAGGAGTGACCTGTCTGCCATCAGTGTCATTTCAATGAGTAACCTGACTGACTCTCCTTCTACTAAGAACAGGACCCAAATTTTCATTCCACTTCTAGGGCTGTGTGACTGGCTTGCGTTTTCTTTCATATGTGTGCATGTATGTGTGGCAAGTTCTTGCTTAGAAAGCTAGTACCGCTTCAGTTTTGTTTGCAATGTTACAAGTCACACTAGGCCAGAACTGTGAGGACTTCGCCGAGTCCTTGGTAAAAAGCAATCATTGCTGATACGTGTCCTTCATTGGTACTTCATACATTTTGACAAATGGTATGCTTCAGCCAAATTATGTCGTTCTGTTTGCATCTTCATCTAATTCTAAAAATCTCAGCTTGAAGGATATGGAAACCCAAGTGGAAGGTGAAGTCCTTGGTGTCAGGTAGCAGGCAGGGTTTTCTGGACTGCTTTATTTTTAAATAACCTGCTATAAATTAAACAGGGTCATTCATCTGTAACCTGTCTGTGTAAACTGAAAAAAGAAAAAAAAAGGATTAATAATAGATTTTCTCATTTATAACAGAGTCTCTTTTTGTGTAAAATTTCCAGCTAATTTGGAAAGCTCGTGTGCATATTTAATTATGCAGGTAGTGACCTTCATTTGCCAATGGAAATACAACTACGCCTAAATGGAGTTAAAGTTGGGACTGTAGCCCAGTGCTTTTGATTTTTTTTTTTTTTTACTCAGAATATTGATTTCATCAATCCTCCATTGTTCTCCATACACTTTTATTATGAGCTAATTTATTTTTACTACAACCCCAAATTGGACTTCTGTGTGAATAAAGTCTAAACAATGAAAAAAACCTCAATTCTTCTTCTCAGACTGTCTATCTCTACCTTTCTAGTTGCCTAATAGACATTTCCATTTGACTCATTACAATCCCAAACTCCATGTACTTAAAATCAAGCTATTAATCTAAAATCACATTTTGAATTAGTCAGCCAGCTCTCCTGTATATCTCTATGGCATCGACCTCTACTTTCTTTTCCAACTACCTTCTCTTCCATTCCTTATAGCTAAATTCTTCTAAGAGGTGTTTATGCTTATAGTTCCTAAGCTGTCTCTTCTCTTCCTCTCTTGAATCCAATCAAAGCAGGCTTTTATAAAACCCCACCTCTCCATGGAAACAATGCTATCACTAATGACCTCCATGTTGTTAAATTCAGTGCTCAAATCCCAGCACTTGATTTACTTGTACTGTCACTAGCATTTTCCTGATACATTTTCTTTCTTCGATTTCTAGTATAACACAGTCTTCCAAGTATCCTGATGTCTTTGTGGCTGATCCTGCTCAGTCACCTTTGCTGGTGCCTCATCATGGCTCAGTGCTTAGACTTCTCTTTATATTGATACTCCTTATGCAGATGTCTTTTTCAAATTAATGGCTTTAAATACCACCCAAATGTTGGTCACTCCAGACATATATCCATTGTTGTGAACTTCAGACATCTCTACTTGGATACTTAATAAAAATCTCAAATTTCATGTGTCTAAAACTGAGCTTCTGATCCCTTCTCATAATTTTATGCTTCCATAGTCTTTTCCATTTCACTAAATTCATTCTTTCAAATATTAAGGCCCAGACTTCAAGGTAATTATTGGCTCCTCCCCCCACCCTTAGACCCCCAAACTCCAACACATCAATTAATTCTGTCATTTTTATGTTCACAATCAGGACTGCTTACATAAGTTGTGAGGCCTAGTGCAAAATGAAAATGTGGGGCCATTTATTTAAAAATACTAAGAATTTCAAGACTATAGCAGCAGAACATTAAACCAAGGGCAGAGTCCTGTGTAATAGCCTAAAACACTTGCCTAAGAAGCCTGTTCACAATATATTAATTCTAGCTACTTCCCACCTCTTCTTCAGTCACATGAGATTCAAGCTACCATCATTTTTTTTGAGAACTATTTAAATGGGGTCCTATCAGGTCTACCCTGTTCTCCCTCCTGATCCTCTCAATGTATTCTCAACTGTGCAGAGAGACCTATTAAAAAACAAATCAGATAATATCACTCTTTGCTCAAAACCCTCCAGTGCCTGTCATTTCACTCACAATAAAACTTACATTTCTCTTTCTTCAACCTAAGTTAGTACATCATCATGTCATACCTACATGACTGCAATATCCTCCAAACCTTCTTATACTACACTGTCTTGATTTTGATCTGCCCGCATACCTTAACAGGGCCAATTTTTATGAAACACTGTTTCTACCACCTCACTTTATAAGACATAATCCTTATCTCATAATATTTCAAGTAAAAACTCCTCAGGCTCTTAAGGCCTTCCACAGTTTACTCCAATTCTACAAAAGAGCCCCATTTCCCATTTTGTCTCCAAAATTCTCCATTCACTTAGGCAAGCTAGTCTCAAATACCATATTCATCCATAATCCTGCTAACATCCTTTTCTTTAGCAGGAAGCACATGTTTTTTTTCTCTATGTCTGTCTCAATTACACACATCTTCCACGGCTTACTTTATTTTCTACTTCCTCCAAAGCCTTCTGCAATTACCCCAGTTCTCACTGATTTACCCTGCATTTTAACATCAGATGAACTTAGATCTTTCTACTACCCACTTTAAGACAAAGATGTACTCTCTGGAATTGGTCACAGATTGTTTCACTGAATAAACACCTTTTGGGCAGGGTCCACATTTCCCCCTGCAATGTTGAGTCCAGGAAAAGTGCCTAATACAGGTCATCTAATACTTACTTATTTACTAAACATATTATATGTGTTAACAACAGGCACTAAATATGAAAGAAATCAAAGCAGACCTTTTGGAGTATACCATAGAGGGCATGCATGATACACAGAAAAATGAGAGAGATTTTTTGAGCTCTGGACAAGCACTCTACTAAGGGTTTTGTATATTTTAGCTTATTTACTCTTCACAATAATCCTGTGAGTTAGGTACCATTATTCTCATTTCAGTTGCCGGTAACCTGAGGTTCAAAGAGGTTAAGGAACTTCACTAAGGACATAACTAGGAAGTGGCAGAATGGGTTTCAAATACAGGTAATCTGCTAGCTCTGCCCATCCCCTGAGCTGAATTGCCTCTCACAGTCTACATTTGTTTACTGTAAGATTTTAAAGCTCCAGACCACTATCGTAATTTTAATAAAAAGTTCATTATATACTTTGCTAAGATACAAACCATATTTTCCTTTTTGCTCTATCAGAGAACCATGGAGGTTTTGTATTTTATCTTAGTCAGATATCAGAGGAAAATATCCAATTATTCACTTATTTTATCAGTTATGCCCACTTTATAAACAGCTCTTAGCAAACATGGAGCCCACATGGTGAGTGCATAGTACTATTTTGCAGTCATTCCACCGCTGAGACAAGAATACCAAGTGTCTGCCGGTCTTACTAATTAGTTTCAGAAAGACTTGTTTTCAATAGTTGAGTTTAAAAACATTACATTTACTACAGTTTGTTGAAAGCCTTTTTTCTGGCCTATATTTCTGAGATGCAGCTTAATTTTTCACTGTCTTATTTTAATTTCTCTCTTTCTTTATAGATCTCATCCTCTCATTTATTATTCTTTGTCTTCTCTCTGTTTCTGGCTTTTCTTCCTGCAGCTGGGCTTTCGTTAGAAGGGATGGATGCAGCTGCCCAACCATTTTCACATTCTTCACTGATGTGATTTTCTTGAGGTAAAACATCATTTAAGAAGTATTACTCAACAATTAAATGTTTCTGTCCTCCTCAAATTCGGTGTCTGAAAGCCTGCCAGTAAGACCCTTTGCAGTTGTTTGTATTGGTTTGGATCCCTTCCTGTTATGCATTACTTTATTTGTTCTGTGCTGATTTGGCTTTTATGTAATATTTTGTTATAGTTGTAATTTCCTCTTTCTATCTAATCTCAACCACTGACTTGGTTTCACTGTTATCTCCCTCCCAACCCCTCAAGGGGAAAGGGTTCATTGACTACTTCCCACTACAAGTCTGACTGCTTTTTAAACTAAATATTTCATCTATTTGATGGGCCAGATTTTCACAGGATTAAGGGGCAATTTTGGAGGCAGAAGTTGGATTCTTGCTCAGCCTTTGAATATTCTTAGTTGTCTACCATGCTTTTGGACTAAAGCAGGGGCACAAAGTTGTATCCAAATTGGTAGTGGAAACCTTAGACTATCTGGTTTGAGTGTTGTGCTACATGGAAGTGTCTTTTCATCTTTCAACAGTTATCCTAGACTTTTTCAGAGTAGCATTTCAGCTGACTTT